CTTCGTCGCTTGTTTTATGTCCTTTTGTCTTCTGTTTCCCTTTTATCTGTATATTCTCTGCCCTCTTCCCTTTCTCCAAGCGTTTTTGTCGCCTCCCCTTCTTATATCTGTATTTTTTTTGTTTTTTGTTTTTGTTTTGTTTTTTTATCTCCGAATTTAATCTCGAACCCGTTTCACTTAGGATTATCCCTATTATCCCCTTCGCTATCCCCTTCCCTTCTCCTCCTATTCTTACCATTGGAAAGTTGTTTGCTTGTTCTGCGCAATTGCCTCATTTCGTATTGCCTCCCTTTCCTTTCCTTCTCTCTTCTTCGTCCCATTTGTTTCCTACTGGCCTTCCACCTGCCCTCGTCACGCTTCACTACGATTTATTACCCCAATCACTGTCTCATTTTATTGCCTAGTTGTGGTGCTTGTGTGCTTCTAGGTTGTTATCTTAGCATGGTCGTGCCGTTGTGTCTGTGATGCTGTGGTGCTGTGATGTCGTGTTGTAGTAGATCTTGCCCCCCCTTCTCGCTCATATTTTCACCTACGTATTAATACTCCTATCGCACCTTGAGGTGCTCCAACTCTCAGTGCTCTCTATCTTCACTTTTCAAATATGCTCTATTCTGCCTCTTCTCTTTTCTCTATTCTTTCTCTACTTATCTCGTCGCGTAATCATTGTCTCTCTCCTCGTATAGTTTGCTTCATTCTCTCTGTCACGTTTTGTCTTTATTACTCTTTCCTTCCATTGCCGTTCTCTGTGCAATATGCTACTGCTCTTATTGGTCTTTCCTTATTTGGCGTCGTGCGTTCTCGTATCATTGTTGCTCATCTTGTCTTTCGTGCTCGTGATGTGTTTTTTATCAGTCTTTATCGTTCGGCCTCCGTTTCTGATTGTGCGTTTATTTTCGTCTTCTGTTTCTTCGGCCTTAACTTTCGGCTCTTGAACTTGCTTAGCTTCCTATAATGTCTCGCATTGCTTGAGTCTCCCGCCTCTTTCCCTTCTTTTTAACCCTTTTCCTCGCGACCCCTCTGCTGACTCCGCTTCTCGCGAGTTGCTGTCCTATTATTCTTTCTCAAATTCCCTTGCTCTGTGCTCTTGAGTCTGTGCTCTTCCTGTCTCGCTGCTCTTATCTCTCTGTATTCTGTTCTGCGTGTTCTGTCTCTCTCTTCTTTCGATTCTCTTTCCCTTGCGTGCCGCAGGTCGTCATTCCCAGTATCGCTCTTGCGTGTCAGGATCTGCGCGTGGACGATGAGAGGTGTGATCTTCGGATCCGCCGCTTGTGTCGTTCTTCTGCTCGTCCATTTCGGTCCATTCTTCCTCGGGACCGGTTCTCTCGTCTATCCACTCAGTCGGCTCTTCTCTCTTTCTCTCTCTCGGGCTCGTGTTGTCCCTTTTTCTTTTTTTTTCCTCTCGTCTGTTTTTTTCTTTTTGTTTCTTCGTTTTTGTTTCCCCTCCCCTCCCTCTGGTTTTCTCTTTGGTTCTTTTCTTCACTCTTTTCGCCGTACTGCTTTCTCTTGATTAATGGCACAACACTTTTTTTCCTCTTCTCGTCTCCCTTCTTCCTCCTTCCGCTCTCCGTGGTTCTCGTCTCGCTCGAAGCTTTGTTGCTATATTATCTCGGCGTTCCTGTTCGGCGCTTTTCTTTGTTTGTGTCCTCGTTTTCCTGGTCTTGGTCTACGTACGTGGAGTGACTCGGGTATCTGACGCCATTACTCAGCTTCCTCTCAATTTCGCTTTACTTTCCGCTTTTCTGTGTGTTTCCTTATGTTTTTTCCTCCCTTTGTCCTTGATTGTTTTTCTCTCTTTCTTGCTTTGTTTCAGGCTTGTTGTGCTCCTCTCGGTTCTAATTCTCCGCCGTCTGTTCGTTTGCGATTAACACTCACCCATGTTATTGACTATTGCAACCTCACGGCTTTATTGTCGTTTTTAGGTCTTCTTCTACTCCAATTGGTTGTTTCATCGTTTACTCCTTTGTCTGTCTCCTCTTTCTCCTCCTGTCTTTCGTTTATCTGTTTAGGTCTATTCCACATCTTTCAGCTTATTCTCTGATTGAGCCGACGATTGCTGTTGATTGTTTTTTTTCTTGCGCCATCATGTATATTTTATCATTATACGGTTTTTTTTTTATTTTACATCTTTCCGTTCTTTTTTTTCTTGTCCTTAGTTTCGGATGGTAATTTCACGGCTTTGTTCTGTTATTGGTTGTAATTGATTTTTTTTTTCTCTCCTCTTTTTTAAGCCTCTAGTGCTTCGCTTGGGGTGTTTGTTGGTTCTGCGTATTTTGTTTCTGAATTAAGGTCTTTGTATTGTGTGTTTTTGTTTGCTTGTGCTTTTTTTTTCACGCTTCCCCTTCTTCTTACTGTGTTCTTGAGTCGTCTCTCAATTCGATTCAGTACACTCCTCTGTTCTCATATTTCATTACTCTAGTGTGCCTCTCGGTTCTAAGATTTCCTTTAATGTCTTCTGGCTGGTGGTTTTTTTTTTATTTCTCTTTAGCTGTGGTGGCAAATTTTGCTTGCGTCATGTTTGTGTCCAGAGTTGATGATTATATCTATTTCTTTCTAATGAATTGCAACGAAATTCGGGAGATTCTCTGCCTAGTCTTATCTAGTGATCTCTGCCATTGTCTGTGTATTGCCTCGTCTTTCATCTGTGTCCGTTATCGCTTGTGTGGGTGCTTGGCGGCCAGAATTGTTGCGAGGGTGGTGGGTGCGTCAAGTACTCTGTCTGCTCGTGTCCGTGTGTTTCCCTAATTCCAAGTTAGGAGCTTCTGCAGCATGTTGCTGTTGCTTTTTTGGCTCTGGTTCAATTTGTTTGTCATGTATTGTGGGGGGCGATCTTTACGTTCTTTGTGTGCGTGCTTCGTTGGGGGGTTGTTGGTTCCCGCTAGCTCTTCCTTGCGTCTATGATATCCGTTGCATAACTTTTCTCTTTGATTCTGTTTCTACTCTCACTATTTATGAATGCTGTTGTTGATGTGTGTTTTCCGTTTCTTACGCAGTGGGATCGTGGCTCTTGATTCTTCTCTGCCCAAACTTCTACATACTGTGTTAGTGGCATCATCGCTATTGTCTGCCAGTTTATGCTCTTTGCCTTCTCCATGTATATTACTACCCGCGTTCATCCTACGAGGTAGAAACGAAAAGGACCTTTCGGTTGAGCGAACCTGTCCCTAGGACAATCCCTATACAGTATTCCATGTAGCATCCGCTGGATGAAAGCTCATTTTTTGTACACCAAACAAATGATGATATTAAGTATACACTTAAGTAATATACTAACGGTAACATAGGCATCACAGACGCTGGTAGCAGCCGTCTCGGCCTGTCCTTACCGCCCCCTCCTTTCCCGGTCGTCGAACCTCGGTTTTTACCCTTCGCTCCCACGATCTCCCTCTCTTCCCGCTCTTCCCGCCCGGCGTCACGCGCGCTTTCTCGTGCCTCGGTCGCGACGGGCGGCGCCGGGCGATGGTCGCTCGCGCGGCTTTTCGTCCCCGCCCGGCTTGCGCTTTCCTCCCTTCTGTCTTCTGAGTTGTGGAACTTGGCCGACTTGGCTGGCCCTCCCTGTTGCCGGCTCGTTGTCCCATAGCCTGTTCTGTGCTTCTGCCAGAGGCCTTCGTGTCAGCGGCGAGTCCCAGCGAGGACTATGGCTTTTCCTCAATGCGTCTGTCACGGGTTCTCTGCGAGGGTTCGCGCCGTGCAAATCGCGACTTACGCTTTTCTAGATTGGTTGGCCGCCCCTTAGTTTAGCGTCGTGCCGGCCCCCTTACAAGACTATGGCCCACACCTTCACCGAACACGCGTATCTTTCCTTTTTCACACACGCTCCGTGCTCGGTGGTGCGAGGTGCCCTCCCGGCGCTTCTCCCTGTCTGCGATGTGGTTGCTGTGCTCGACCCCTCTGCCCTCTCCGCCTTGCTCTTTATTGCTCTTTTTCGTTGGGGTCTCTACGCGACAGGTTCGCGTTCTACCTGCGTCCCTCGGCCTCCTTGAACGGACGGGCCGCGTCGCCTGACGGTTGGGGTTTCACGTGAGACGACTGCGTCGCCGAGACGGCTTTTGTGTTTTTGAATCGACCTATTCGTTTTTGGTTGCTGTGCTGTGTGGCTTGAGTGTTTCTCCACTAATTATAATTCGTTCAACGTTATACACAATTTGCCTTATATTCTTTTGTGCTTGTTGTTTGTTGCTAATGCGTGCTATGAACTAGACCATCCTGGGGGCCTCGGAATTGTTTTGCGTGTTTGTGTGGTCAGGGGAGGGGGAAAGGAGGGCGAATGGAAGGGCTAGAGGACGAAGCGCACAGAAAGCCGGGAGAGGAGGAAAGGAGAAGAGGGGGAGCCGATAGTGGAGAGGGCAAGAGGGGCTGAGTGGAAGGCAATAGAGGTTAGGTGAAGGGGAAGCTGTAGCTTAGATGGTCGGACGGGTGGGATTGGCTGTTGGTTCAGGAGAGTCTACGGGGCAGTCGAAGGGAACGAGGCTGGAGCTCGCCGGCACGGTGTATACGCCGGAAACACAGCAATGGAAGAGAAAATAGGGCAGAAGTACGTAGTGGGCATATGGAGGAGGGGAAGGATGATAAAGTATCAGTATAGGTGTGAGGATATGAAAGTGGGCAAGGGATAGTGGTCTTGTCATGATTGTAGTGGCAGTGAAGGGGATAAGCAGTGGCGGGAGTATTGTTTACGGTTGTTTTAAAGAGGTTTTGTGCGAAGGCAGCTTATTGACAGGAGAATTTGCGTGGTAGGGGAGAGGTTTGACAGTCTTGGGAGTGGGAAATGTGGAGGGATAGAAGAGAGTAGATCTGATGGAAGGTCATGAGGGCGTGTTGGGCGCACCCGCAAGATGACGATGGACGAAAAGAGAGCGGAGAGGAGAGTTAAGGGATGGCGTAGACACGGATTGTGGAGAGTATAATAGGGGGAAAGGTGTAGACATGGATGATGGGACTTGAAGTAGCGGAAGGAAGCGAGAAAGAGAAGGCTTGGTCACAGAGCAGAGAGAAGAGAACAG